CTTGGAATGTAATCCCAGTTTGGCATTATTTAACAACCCAGTTTTTTCACTGTTTATCTGTGAATTTAATTTACAAACAAGAAGCACCAGTTTGAGTGCAAATCCAGAGAGAGCAGCAAAGGCAATCTTGCTTCTCTTTTTATGTATAAATCTGTCCATTTATTTACATCATTTTCATTAGAAATTTGGGGGATATGAACTAGGAAACAGGAAATGAAGAAAAATTATAAAAAAATAACATTAACCATATTAGAAGCTAAACAGGCATTCATGCCTCAAACATGATTGTTATATTTCATCTTAGCTAAGAGAAATAATGACTACTGCTTTTGTTTTGTTTTGTTTCCTGTACACTACATTTTAAAATGAAGCATATAGTGAAGAATACCAACTATTTAGCCAAAAGGTGAAGGGTTATATTAAAAAAATGTTCAGGCAGCTTCAGATTTTATTTGTTAAAAAAAAAAATTAGAAAATGAAACTCTTCATAGCACTAAACACCAAAAGTAACTGCTGTAGTAAAATTATATGAAAAAATGAATACAACAGAATATAACCGATTAACAAGAGTTGGAAGACACCTTGTAGATCATCTAGTTCTAGTCCAATCCCCTGCCCAAGCAGGAGACCCTACACCCGTGATGGCAAACCTATGGCACGTGTGCCAGAAGTGGCACACAGAGCCATCTCTCTGGGCATGCAATCTGTTGCCTGTTGCTCTTCTGGGTTCTGGCATGCTGGCCAGCTGGTCTTCGCACATGCACATATGCCGGAAACTGCAACAACAGCCACCCGGTGCGCTTTCATGTGCCAGAAAGATGATCTTCCTGTTTCTGGCACGCACAGGTGGACCAGCCAGCTAGTCTTCACGTGCACATGCGCACCAGAAACCAGAAGACCAGGTGGTCGGTGCGCATGCCAGAAACTGGAAAATCATCTTCCTGGCGCATGCAGGCACACTGGGCAGCTGTTCTTCTGGTTTCTGGCACATGTGCGTGCGCTCCCAACCTTTCGGTGCCGAAAAGGTTCACCAACACTGCCCTATACCATTTTTGACAAATGGCAGTCCAATCTCTTCTTGAAAGCCTCCAGCGATGAAGCTCCCATAACTTCCAAAGACAAGCTATTCAATTGGTTGATTGTTCTCTGCACTTTTTCTAGAGTCTCAACATGCTTTTTATAGTGTGGTGACCAAAACTGGATGCAGTATTCTAGATGTGGCCTTACTTACTTTATAGAGTGGCATTAGAATCTCACTTGACCTTGATTGTATTCCTTTGTTAATGCAATTTAGGATTGCACTGGCTTTTTTGGCTGCCGATACATACATACATACATATACATACATACATACATACATATACATACACACACACACACACACACACACACACACACACATGCAAAGTTTCCTCTAAGCTGAGTTCAACTGCTGATGATTTCATGGATATATCTATATATTTTACTTAGCAATAATATGGAAATTGCCTGCTTATAGGATTTCTTAAATCTCATTTTCTAATCTATTTTATAGTATTGGAATATCCTGGCAGTCTCTTATCTAAGTATTTATCAGGCCTAATGCTACCTACTCTGTATTTCTGAGATAATCCAAGTTAGATAGGTGCTTCTATCTAGCTGTACAGATAATCGAGTTGTCCATTCATTCAACAATGCCTCCAAGTTATGATTATGCTGAATGAGGAGCACCTATGAGGGTCCTCAGTCACATTAACATGATTGTCAATGTTCCCTGCTGGCTTCCTACAAGCAAAGTCAATGGAAAAGTTGGCACGAAGTTGGAAGTCGTGGTCACATGAGATCCTTGCTTTAACCACCTCCATAGTCCTTGCTTAATAATGGCATCTGGGACTGCCATCAGTAAATAATGTGGTCCCACTAGTAAACTAGATTTCTACAACAAAAGTGCATTAATGTTTCTGTGTAAGTCATCAGGAGCATCAGACTTCCTTCATTATGCACAGCAAGAGGCTACTAAACAGTAGACCAACTAGTTTTCATGAGTAAAGAACTAAGACTACCTAGGAAAGATCAGAAACAAATTTATCTCATAATCAGTCTCAGAACCAAGAGTCACCATCCTCCACAAAATACTATTCACATAAACAGGTATATTCCATCACATTTTACATATAATTTGCATATTTGTTGCAACAGAAATATGTAAATCAGCATCACTTTGCCCTGCTCTACTTGTCTTAATATTTTGTCTTCATAAAGTGAATACTTGTCGCATAATCTATCCCACCCATGACAAAACTAAGCAGATCAATAATAGTCTTAAACCTGTTTGACAGCCATTCCACTCCTCAATAAATCATAGAACTAGTATCAATTTTTCAAGACTCTTTTGAGAAAGTTTTAAATGACAATAAATTAATCTACAGCATGCATATGGAGGCTTGTAATGGAACTCTGTAAAAGAACACATTTTATGAGGAACTGTCCAAAAATTTATATTTTAGGAATCAGAAGCCATGAAGAGAATACTTATGTGAGAAGATTGAACAATGAACCACTGAAACAGGTTGACACAATGTATATAACTATGTATAATAATTAATAATAAATAATAAAAAGTTCAAACAAAAAGAAAAACTTATATTATAATATAAAAAGAAAAACTTGAGCTAGTTTCTCACTCCAAGATGTAATTAAATAATATTCCAAATATCTGTCCAATATATTTAGAAAGAATTAATAAGATTGAAATATCTAAAAAAAAAATCAATGTCACTTACAAACAAGCCCTGCTGTATTGAACAAAACGATTGCTTAATCTAGCGTTCTGTTTCCAATTATCCACAAGATGAGTATGGGAATCTTACAAACATAAGATTGGTCGGCTACTTCTACCCAGCAGCTAGTATAGTATATGAAAGGACAGTTCTGTATAACTATCATTATTAGTTGCCACTGATAATCTTATACTCCATAAATTAGTCTAATCTTCTTTTAAAATTGCCTTAATGACCATAATTTATTCTGAGAAAGGAAATTATTTTGTTATTAAGACTAATTTCCTTTTACTTGCCACAGATGTTATACAATTCAACTTAGTTTAATTAGGCTCTAGTATTGGAGAGAGAAAGAAAAAAAAATGTGTGAATTTTTGCCAAGCCATGAATAATTTTATATTCCTCAGTTATCTCCCTCTTTAGCTGCACTTTTAAAAAAAAGTCACTTCTGCATTTCGGAGTTACCTTTGCCAGCACTTTTTTTAGCCATACAATGTTTTTTGGAGTGAAACTGCACACAATATTCTAAATTTGATAACTTCATAGATTTTTAATAACAAAAATAGGTTTTAAATCCATTTTAATACTTTTGCTAATATTTTTTTCTTACATGCCGGTACCAGTGACATACGGTACTAGATTGAGGTACCATGACCTCAAGTTTCATTCTCTGGAGGTTTACAATGAGTGTGTAAATGAAATTATAGTCAAGAGGTGTGGGCATAATAATATCACTACAGAGGATGTACATGAGCTTTCTTAAAGTTCTGTAATTTTAATCATTAATTTTCTGAAGATAAGCATAAACAGACAAGTGGTACTGCAGATGACAATTTATTATTCAGAGTTCTTAAAACAAAACAAAACCAGAATTGGGGAATACGCCAAAGCAACAGGAAAAACAGAGTAAAATGACAAATGCGGCTCAGTTTAATGAAATATTATCCATTTGATAAAGCTAAATAAAGAAATGTCTAATTCACGTGAAAAGCAAAGGATTTATTAAATTATTCTAAACCAGTACAATTTTCTTAGGGATTTGTTTGGGGCGGGTTGGGGGGGCACAATTTACAGAACTTTTTGAGCTCTCACTGTCAATAGTCCTGTATCTAATAGCCTTGGAGTATGCATTTCAAAATAATTCTGAAAAGTCTCCCTTATTCTGGACTTTAGAAACCTTGTTTTGCGTGGTGGCTTTGTATTAATCTTGACTTCTGGGACATATATGGATAAGTCCATGAAATTTTCTTGACAACTTTTTCTCCAAGTTGTTTACCACTGTCATCTTCCTAAAGCTGAGATCATTAAGGCCCAAGATCATTAAGTGTGAATGCAGGACTAGAACTCAGGTCCCATTAGCCTCAGTCTTAGTACCTAGACCAAACTGGCTCTTGGAAATCTGATAGATGTTTTAAGATTAGAGTGCAGATTTTAACCAAAATAACACACCCCATCAAAATTTTACTGTCATTTAATAGCCAGTAAGGTTCAAGCAAACCTACTGAAACTAGGTCACTGGGAGAGGCAAATTGCACAAGTTATCCGGAAAAACTATGTTGCAGGATTTTTCTCGCTCCCTGGAATTTTTAAAATACTGTGGGTTGATCATCATAACTCTATAAATTTAAAGACTTCAAAACGCAACCTTAAGCAGAGAATTAGGGGAGGGGTAAAGGGAAAAGAAAACTAGGCAGATGTTTTGATACACAGCAACCCAGCATCTGATTCTTATATACATATACATATACATATACATATACATATACACACACACACACACATATATACATAACATATATATATATATATATATATATATATATATATATATATATATATATATATATATATAAAACTCGCTTTGTCTCCCAGTCCAGATAACAGAGGTCTTCAAACTTGGCAGCTTTAAGACTTGGGGACTTCAACTCCCAAAATTCTCCAGCCAGCTATGCTATGCTATGCTGGCTGGAGAATTCTGGGAGTTGAAGTCCCCAAGTCTTAAAGCTGCCAAGTTTGAAGACCTTTGAGATAAAACGAACGCAAATGTCTGTTTGCGATCTTAGCAAAGAAAACTCTTTAAACAATCAGAACTCGGGAGCAAATCTACAGCTCTCGAGAGGGAGAAGCACCTACCAGATCCCCTAACTCGGCCCTGAAGCAGCCAAGGGAAACCTTCCAGAGACCCCGCTGACAAACGGACAGAGGCGCAAGACCCCGCGAGCCGACAAGAACGATACTTACAGCGCGGTGATGCTGCGAGGCAAAAGTGGCAGCAGGCCTGGTTCTAAGGTCCGACCGGACAGGCGGAGGCGGCTGCAATCCAACACACCTCGCCGGCAAGAACAAGGCGCGGCGGCGGGGCAAGGTTCCCCCGCAGCCTCCCGCAGTAGCGCTACCAGCATCAAAGGTAACAGCGGCCCGAACGCCCCTGGGCCAATCTCTTCGCCCCGCCGCATTCTCCTTCACCCTCTTGCGCGCGGGGGGGGGGGGGGGATTCTGCCGCCCTGGAGATCTCGTCAGGCCGCGCAGTTGTGAACTCTGCCTTCGCGCACCGCGCCCGCCTTCGCGCAGGCCGAACCGGGAGGAGCCAAGCGAGGGCCTCCTTGAGCGCACGCGCACCAAACGGAGCCGACGGGAGGAGCGTTCGGGAGGGTGGGGGAGCGCCCCCTACGGGAGTTGGGCGGAGCTTCGTCGTTGACAGTTGGAAGGACGGAGGTGGGGGAGTTTGTGGGGAAGGTGGAGGGTGGGGGAGATTCTCGCGTATGCTCGGATTTCAAATTATGGTTTGCGATGGCTGTTAGTTTGGAGCAAGTGTGAATTGGCTGTAATTTTCTTTCTGCTGTAGAAGAGCCATTTGCTCTCTTTCTCTGTCCTTTCCGTCCCGGGTTTCTCTTTGAGCCTCCCGCACTTCTTTGATGCTTAAACCTATTCAATTAATACCATCCTTTTTATATCTGGATTATGCCTAAAAAAAGTTTGTAACTTTAGCTTTATTATTTAATTTAGCTTTATTATGCATTATTAATATTAAGTATTAGCTTTAAGTAGTGCTTGAAAATGAAATAAATCAACATCTGTAGGAATATTCTCCTGCAAATAAATAAAATAAATAAATAAATAAATAACTTTATTGTCATTGTAAGTGTATATACAGTATACACATACAACGAAAATATGTAGAATATACCAAACAAAATATAATGGGGGGGAGGGAATAGTGAGCGGAACAGTTTGGATCTTTACAGTTTTACATTGCTATACTGTTTATCAATTGCACAGCCAAATTTTTCGAAGCCAACATTTTGTACTATTCTAATGCACAAAGTGCACAACTATGAATGTAATCTCTGAAGCGGCTATCACATCCTGGCTACAACAAATTGGTTAAATCATTTCTGTTTGCTGATATTTTGTGGTCCAAGGATTTTCAGACAAGAACTAGTCTCCCCAATTTAAAAGGAAGCATTGCAGTAATGATTCACGCTTCAAATTCACATTAGCACTGGATCCATTATTTTTTTTCAATTTCATTGTTACAAATATACCGTTTATTGCATACATAGTCCATCACTCTTACTCTTTTTGGATGCAATTGAAAAACAGATCCCCATCTGATCACCATTCTTATTCATTTGTATATCTCCCAATAGCTAGACATTATTTTTTATTTTATTTTATTTTATTTTATTTTAAATTTGTATACCGCCCTTCTCCCTGAGGACTCAGGGCGGTGAACAGCCAAATAAAAACATCAAATACAAATATTAAAATACAGTTAAAAATATATATATAGATTTGGCCCCATTAATTAAAACGATAAACAAAACAAAACAATTAAAAAAAACCCTTAAAAAGAATTAGGCCAGCCCGGCTTGTTGGAAAAAGAAAGTTTTAAGGGCACGGCGGAAGGCGCTGAGGTCATGGATTCTCCTTATCTCAGGGGGCAACTGATTCCAGAGGGTGGGTGCCCCCACAGAGAAGGGCCTCCCCCTGGGGGTCACCAGCCTGCATTGTTTGGCTGATGGCACCCCAAGGAGGCCCTCTCTGTGGGAGCGCACGGGTCGGTGGGAGGTCGTCGGTGGCAGTAGGCGGTCTCAAAGATAGCTAGGCCCTATGCCATGGAGCGCTTTAAAGGTGATAACCAACACCTTGAAGCGCACCCGGAAGACCACCGGGAGCCAGTGCAGTTCACGCAGGAGCGGGGTTACATGGGAGCGCCACACTGCTCCCGTCACTACCCGCGCTGCTGCGTTCTGGACCAGTTGGAGCCTCCGGGTGCTCTTCAAGGGGAGCCCCATGTAGAGAGCGTTGCAGTAATCAAGGCGAGAGGTTACGAGGTACATGCAAGTATACTAAGAACATTTCTGAATTGAACCAAAAGTACAGCTAATCCCAAGATCCTACAGGAGGACAATAAGATGCCCCTGGGAAACATATGGAGGACATCACTCCAATACATGCTCTCATTCATGTTCTCAGCATCTATTACAATATTTTTATGATCACTCTAAATAAGTTATTGTTTCTGTGGCTTCTCTAATATTTATCCCTTTAAGTGTTATTGTACTCTCTTCTTCCTCTTGTTATAGGATGCTGGGAACAGCATCTATTTTTACTCTTTTAAAATAGGACATAGGAAAAAAGCAGTAATTATATTTCTAGGTTTAAATACATATCAAATGAAATGTGGTTTGACAAACCTTGATTTCAATTGACTATCATGATTTAAATTTCAAGAACATTCTTGTGTATATTTGAAAAATAAATTGCTTCTGTATTACATTAACTTTCTTTTAAGGGGAATGTGGACTTCATTTAATTCAATCACATGCAAAGGACTTCACATCTTCATTAAATGACGTACATAAGCTGCATAGCTATATTGTTAGTTGCTCAAAGGGATAATCGGAGGTTGCTAGCTATTTAAGCTTTGCAAAAACAAAAAATAAGTCGATGGAAAAAGTATAAACTTTTTGTAGATGTTAAGCACCCTACACACAAGTGAGATGTCTAGATGCATATTCCCCATGGCCCAGAGGAAGAATGGGACAGTTCATGATTTAGGATATTTCCTGTACTTCAAGCCCTATCAAGAACTTCCCAAGCAACATTCCATTAAATTCTCTGTATGTATTGGCAGGACAAGCTAGACAGGTGTTGCCAAAAAACAGGAAGAGACTAATTCCCTTCAGGTCCTGGCCGGGTGGGGGCAACCCACCCAGGATGTGGCAACACCCTCTGTTTTGATCCCATGTTTCCAGTATTTATTATGAACTTTCTTGGTTCCACTGTCAGCCTTCTGTGGAAAACAAATAGCTTTCTGCCATCTGATTGCTTTCTTTCTTGCTCAGACTTGCTCAGTTTTCCTTTCTTCCCTCCACCAAGATTTGTGGAATCTGGAATTCCAGAAACACTGAGCTCTTTGAGATTCTTATGGTATTTCTGAGGAAGGCAAGTTTATAGAGCTTGGTTCTGGTTTATATATACTTATGTACTGTACTCCCCTGGTGATTACAGTTGAAACCCTTTATTTTATTTTTTGTTGCACAATATTCAGTACTATATATCTGCTGAATAATTTGATTTCTTCAGATGAACTTGATGGAGATTTGGAGGAATCTTGTGTCACTTTTACCTTTGCTTATGTGCATATGTGCATATATCTTGTTTGCTCACTATATGAGCAGCCCCCAGCATCTCATTTTCTCTTTGAAATTCCCGTTCTACTTTTCTTCCTTCCTTTCATCCTGTGTGGCATCACTTTCTCTTTTTCCCACTTTGGTCATTTGCTGTGTTGCAACAACACATCTATTTATGCTTTATTCAATTAAATCAATTCCCAAGATTCACACTATACCCTGAATTAACAACACTGGCTGGATTCATACAATATACTGGGGTGAAATGTGATTGGTTAGTTCAATGTGTCATGTGCAAACAGGTTTTTTTTTCATGTGCAAACAGGTTTTCCTCCCACTCCCTGGATCATCTCCTCCAACTTACTTACTACTTGACTTTTACACTAATCTCTCCCCTCTGCCCCACCTCCACTAGGCGTTCATAGCAATATTTGTTTCCTTTTAATATTTTAATTTGATAATTGGCCTGCTACATTTTTTTCTAAGAGTGTTGGATTCATAAGATGCCCAGAGACATGTTGAAGAAATTAATAATATTGTAATCACCTGGAGGAATGTCCTTTATTTTGAACATATAAATTTGCACACATGTATGTATCGTGCACACCTAAGTAAAATCAGTAAAATCCCATGAAGGATTAGTTGTGATAATCTGCCTAAAAGCAGTAGCAGCTGGAAATTCTGGCCATTGTCACTAGAATTTCTCAGTTGCAGTCCCACCACATCTTGAAAGTTGCTTTTATTAATAAATATCTTGCTCCCCATTTCTTAAAATTCATATGTTGCTCACATACAGTTTGATTTCCATTCATCTTTATATTTAAATTATGTAAGAATATGGATAAACTTCAGTCTTTTCTACAAAGGTTTTTGATTTGGTTAGGTTATTTATATTCCCAGCAGCACAAAACATGCTACTTCCATGTCTCTGAGATAGCACTGAAAAACTATCCTATGGAAACATGCTATTGGACTGATTCTTCAGCAATAAGTTGACTAAATCCTGCCGCTAAAGTTGTATATACCCGTTTTTGCTAAAATTGTGTGATTTTTCCTTAGAATTTTTAAAATTGATTTTATATCTTTGTATCATTACTGAATTCTATAATTTTACACTTGATCCTACTTCTCAAAACAATTATGCCTACACTTTGTTCGTATTTTTACTTAGTGTATTATATGAACCCAACTACTGCAGTTTGGAAACTTTGATTAATGGGTTAGTATGCTATACCAACCCAGTCATTGTGGTTTACTTAGTAATCATGGCTCATCATGATGAGTTGAGCAACTACCTCTCTTTTCCCGAAAGTTGTCTCTTTCTTGCTCCTTTTCTTGATAACCTGGTTTAGATAGACTCCTCTATTTGGTGACTGTCATCAATATCTGTTAGTCTGGTGTCTACATGTTTCTTTAATAACTTTCCTTTTTCTATTAGAGCAGTTTCTCTTTTTGCCATTCTTCCACAACAGAGTGAACTGTAGCCCCTCAAGCCTAATTTCTATGGCTTTCAAAGCCTTCCAAGATCAGCATTCAGTCACTAGTCACCAATTTTACACAATTATAATGCCATTTGGCAGGAGAGATTTAAAATAAATAAGCTAAGCACAGAAATACAAGGGGATGCTTCACTTTAATAGCAGCAGCAGGTGGGATCTACGCCCACGTTCTAGACGTTTGTTTTGCTGACGCATGCGGGTAAAACGCATCCGCCTGTTCTCTCCCACCCCCCCATTTCACAGCATTTACCCTATCCCCATTTCTTCGACAGCTGGATGGCTGGACAGCCCGTCCACCTTCCAGGCTGGCAGGAGCACACAGCTTTGCCTATATCGTGGGGTTAAAGTCTGAAACAGCCGGGCTGCTTGTCTTGCCCTGATGGATCTCCTTTTATTCCTCCCCTTGCCTCATTTTCTTAACTTGCTGCTTTAGAGGCAGTG